GTGAGAGAGTGAGAGAGTGAGAGAGTGAGAGAGTGAGTGTGTGTGTGTGTCGCAGGACGTGGAGAACATCTTCAGCCGGATCGTGGACATCCATGAGGTGACGGTGAAGCTGCTGGGGCTGATCGAGGACACGGTGGAGATGACGGACGAGGGCAGTCCTCACCCGCTCGTGGGCAGCTGCTTCGAGGACCTCGCTGAGGTCTCACGCTCACAGACATGTGTGACCCTGGAGCACAAAACCAGTCATGAGGGTCAATTTTTCAAAATTGAGATTTATGCATCATCTGAAGCTGAATAAATAATCTCTCCATTGATGTATGGTTTGTTAGGATCGGACAATATTTGAAAATCTGGAATCTGAGGGAGCAAAAAAATCTAAATATTGAGAAAATCATCTTTAAAGTTGTTCAAATGAAGTTCTTAGCAATGCATATTACTAATCAAACATTAAGTTTTGATATATTTACGGTAGGAGATTTACAAAATATCTTCATGGAACATGATCTTTACTTAATATCCTAATGATTTTTGGCATAAAAGAGAAATGTATAATTGTGACCCATACAATGTATTGTTGGCTATTGCTACAAATATCCCCCAGACACTTAACACTGCTTTTGTGCTGCAGGGACACATGTGTATAATTATTATTTCAGATAGCGACATCTACCTTTGAAAGGATGCAATGAATTTAATGATTTTTGGGAAAGTGCAATGACTGCAGTCAGACCTAACATATGAAAATCAATGATTTTAGTTTTATTGTTATCAAACTGTTTAAATGTAATTATTATTATTACTAATATCAATAATAATAACATTTATTTATTTATTTAATTAAATGTATTCGTTTAATAATATTATTATAATTTATAATAAATTATTTGACATCTTTATAATAATAGTAGTAATAGTAATCATTTCATTTTTATTTAATAATAATAATAATAATGTAATTTATAAATAATTACTTTCACTTTTTAATAATAATAATAGTTTAATTAATTTATTTAACAATAATATTATGATTTATAACAAAGTTTCTACTTTTTAATAAATAATAGCACTAGAATAATAGTAATTGATTAATATTACAATAATATATCATATTTAACTTAATAATAATAATTTTAATTATTTAATAATATGCTCATTTATAATATATATTTTTTAAATTTTTGAAATATAATAGAAGTTATTTTATTTAATAGTAAAATTATTTATAATATTTATTTTATTTTTAATTTATATAAAATAGAATAAATAATTTTAATTTAACTAATAATGGTAGTACTATATTTTAATTTAAATGTTATTATTTATAATAATATTTACATATTTAATTTATAATAATAGTAATAATTTATTTTAGTAATACTATACATTTGAATTAGTTTTTTCTTTTTCCCCCAAATAATAATTTATTATAATTAATCTCTATATTTTATTTAACAATAATGTTATATCTTAAAATAAATTATTTAATTTGGAATAATCATAAATTAATTTATTTTAATAATACTATACAGTTTAATATTTTTTGTTTTTATTTTCAATTAATAATAATAATAATAATAATAATAATAATAATAAAATCTTTAGCTCTATTACCCAGCACTACTAATAAGAAGTGTGTGATTGATTAACTCTGGGGCGTGGCCTGTTTTCAGGAGCTGGCCTTTGACCCCTACGAGACGTACGCACAGGATATCCTGCGCAGCGGCTTCCGCGATCACTTCCTGAGTCAGCTGTCCAAACCCGGAGCGGCCATCTACCTGCAGGTCAGAGGTCACGGACAGCATGAACGTGTCCCCCTCTCTGTGTTTCAGTCCATCTGTGACGGCTTCAAAGAGGCGCTGCAGTACGTGTTACCGCGGTTACTCCTCACGCCGCTCTACCACTGTCTGCATCACTTCGAGATTCTAAAGGCGAGTGTCATCAGCACAACCGCTTCCCACAATGCACCTCACTGACCGTGCGTCTGAGTCCAAGTGATGCAGAAATAATGGTTGTTTAGATAAAGCCTGCGGTCGGTGCACTTCCACATTCACCTCTTCTTCTTCTAGACTATTTCAAAAATAGTTTTAACTTCTAAAATTAAAACCTAAATTTAGAGCATCAACACACTTCAAATTCTGCTGCAGAGTTTAATAATGATATTATAATTTATTTTTAATAAATAAGAACAGTAATAATTGAATTACATTATATTTAATAACAATATAATTTATAATGCATTTTTTATTTGTAATTAATAATATATATTTTTTTATTTAATAATAGCACATTCATGCGTTTATAAACTATTTTGGATTATAATTCTTTGCAATAGATTCTATTTAAATAAACTATTTTTAATTTCTAAAATTAAAATCTAAATTTAGAGCATCAACACTATGCTGTAGGGTTTAATAATGATATTATAATTTATAATAAATTATTTTATTTTTAATAAATAATAATAGTAATCATCTAATTACATTGTTTAATAATAATAATATAATTTATGATGCATTTTTATTTTAAATTTGTAATTTATAATATATATATTTTTTATCTAATAATAGCACATTCGTGTGTTGATAAACAATTCAATATTTTTTATTTAATAATAGTAATATATTAATCATTTAATTAATTTTTAATTAATAACAGTATAATTTATAATGCATTATTTTAATTTTATTTTTTTAATTTTTTTTTAATTTGGCTATTCTTTGCAATAGATTCTATTTAACTAAACTATTTCAAAAATATATTTAAATCAATTTTTTTTATTTTATTTTTAATAATAGTAATATATTAATCATTTAATTAATTTTTAATTAATAATAATATGATTTATAATGCTTTATTTTATTTTTTTATTAATAATAAAATATAGATTTTTTTTTTAATAACTGGTATTACATTAATATGCTTATAAACAAGTTTTTATTAATGTAATCTAAATGTAAAATCTAAGTCTAGCATGCCACCTGTCTGCAGTCTGGGGTTTGTGAGTTCAAATCATAAAAATGTCACATTTAAGTAACTTTCAAATAAAAACTGTTACATTTAAATGCATGAAAAGTCCTCTGACAGACAGCGGAGGAGCGTGAAGATGTGAATGTGTTGTTAAATGATTAAAGAGTTGTCTTAAGATCTCAGAGGGGTCCGGGGTCCGGGATTCTGTCCGGAGTCACAAGCATCTGAACACGTGGCTCTTCCAGAGCTCCAGCATTCCCGGCGGCCCTAAGCTGCTTTCCTGGATTCTTTCTGAGGGATTTATGGAGCAGAAAGCAGCAAATCTCTGCGCCTCGTACGGACCTCGCTCAGAAAGAGCTGTTTGCTCAGAAGGATGATTTATGAGAGATTTCAGTCCAGATTTCAGACGTTCGCATGTTCTTTTTAACATGAGTTATTTACATTAGCATAGTTAGGATTTTATTAATTTTGAATAGATATTTTCTTTTGTTTGGTTTTATTTTTTAAATTAATTGTTGTAATTTTATGTTTTCGTGATTTTAAAAACTTAAATTTTTTTTAGTTTTACATTTTTGTCATTTAATTACGTTTCAGTAAGTGTTTTATTTTTTTATTTGCTTTAAGTGTAATATTATTTATTTAATTTTTTGATTTAATAAATTTTTAATAAGTATTTTATTTTGATTGATTTTATTCTAAAATGATTTGCTTTAATTTTACATTGAATTACTTAGTTTTTATTTTTAGTTTATTTTAATTTCACATTTTTATGATTCAAATGTTACTGTTTTATTTTGATTTGCTTTTATTTTAAAATGATTTATTTAAATGTTACATTTTTATGATTTAATTATTAGAGTGTTTTTATTTATTTTTATTGTATTTTATTTTGTTATTTAATCATTTTTAGTAAGTGATTTATTCTGTTTTATAAATATTTAATTATTTATGTTTTTGGTTTAATTAATTTTTAGTAAGTGTGTTATTTTGATTGCTTTTATTTTAAGATTATTTATTTATTTTAATGTGATATTTTTGTGGTTTAATTCATTGTTAGTTTTCACCATCAACTGACCCCGTCCTAAAGCATTATCAGACGAGTCCAGATACTGAGCGTCTCTGTCTGCTCCTCTGCAGCAACTGGAGGAGAAGAGTGAGGATGAGGAGGATAAAGAGTGCTTGAAACAAGCCATTACAGCCCTACTGAACCTGCAGAGCAGCATGGAGAGAATCTGCTCCAAGAGCCTCGCCAAGAGACGCCTCAGGTACACACACACACACACACACACGCGCACACACCCACTCTCACGCGCGCACACACACACTCTCACACACACACACACACTCACTCACTCACTCACA